CGCCCGCCTCGGCCTCCCAGAGTGCTAGGATTACAGGCGTGAACCACCGCGCCTGGCCGCAAATGCCAGTTTTTCAAATGAAACCACCTAGCTTTTATAATGTTTAGTCTTTGAGACATGGCTAGTCATAAACTCCATTGGCTATGTGCCTATGTGAATATGACATTGTCTTACCAGTGAGGAGCTTCAAATGTACTGACAGGGACAAGCATGTACGTAATAAATGGTAAAACATGGCAGAATGTGAACAGCACTTAATAAAAACACAAAGTCTCACAGTGACATCAAAGAATAAATTCTGAATGATGAAGGTTTTGCATCGGAGATGGCAATTTGAGCTGCGCTAAATGTATTTAATATATATATGTATGTGTGTATAATATGTATGTGTGTATACTTTTGTATTAATATACATTTGCATACATGTATGTATATATGCATTTATATATGTATGTATATATAAATAAATACTGACTTTAGAAACAACTCAGGTTTGAGAAAAACCTAAACTGTGAGGAAACAGATTACAACCAAGATAATGACCCTTAACAGTTTAGTGTATAATCTTAAATTTTTATGAATATACTTACACAAAATATTATCACAAACATCTGTTAATTTAATGAATATGTATATTCTGGCCTACAACATTCTAGGTACTGTCTTACAGGCTCAAGTTACATCAGCGAACAAAAACAATGATTCTTTCTCTCAAGGAGCGTATGTTTTAGTGGGTTGAGACAGAGAATAAATAAAAACTAAAATAAGTAAATTATGTAGGATGCTAGTATGTGATAATTCCTATGTGGATAGAGAGTGGAAGGAAAATAGGGGATGGAAGGGAGGATCAAGAGTCCTGAGGAGTGGATTGCAATTCTAAATTGGGGGTCAGGGTAAGGCTCATTTTGAAGGTGACATGTGAATGAAGATTTAAAGGAGGTAAGGGAACGAGGCTAGCAGATATGAAGGAAGAGAATTGCAGGTAGATAATTCTTAGTGCAAAAGCTCTAAGATGGGAAAGTGCCTCACCTGTGCATTTTTCTAGTCAGAAAAGTCTTTAGTATTTGGAAGTTGACAAGCTCATTATGGCAAATACAAGTTTTCCAATATTCTAATTATCACTTAAAAGCTCAAAATTCTATCATCAGCAAAAAAATACTGTGCTGTTTTCCTTAAAGTCACAGGCTTACTTCATTTGTGAAAAAATTTCTGTCCAATGCCAAATCTGAACAAACATAGTTTGTCTGTTATTTACTCTTTCATGTAAAAATGCTATTCCAAGGAAAAATTAACACAGGCACTGGCATGGCTGCCACCATCATTGTCTCACTGGGTTATCTGCACCCCAAGTTCACCAGCTGTCAGCCAGCACAGCAACAGGAACTGCCCAAGGACTGCAGCGTTTGTGGCCTGTCTTATGAAAAACCCCAGGCTGCTTTTGTCTGCTGGTGTTGGGGCTAGCCTGAATTTGGGTTTCAATGCAAACTCCCACAGTCACTCCACTCTCTTTCCTCTGAGCACACAGATTCTTCTCTACTTGGTGGTCGAGGGGTGGCATAGGCAATGCAAGATTGTCTCTTCTGCCCTCTTCAGTGCCTCTTTCCTTGATATAATGTTAAAACCAGGTAGTAGGATTGCTCACCTGATTTTTGGTTCTTCTGAAAGTGCTTCCTTGCATGGATAGTTGTTGAGGTTGGTGTTCTTGTAGAGGGATGATTGCTGGAGATTTCTATTTGAACATCTTTCTCTGCCCCCTCTCCCTGGAATCCCTCAATTTGAGAGAAACTGACCTTCTTTGTTCTCTTAGTATCTTGTCCATACCGCTGTCATGACATTTATCACACTACTGTGGGACCACAAGCTCCTTACCTGAATTCTCTTTATATTTCCAAGATCTAGCATAGTTGTGGGTCTTTAGTAAATACTAGGTGCTGTGAAGAGATTCTATGCTGCATTTGAAGGCTACTTTGTAGCACTTGCTGAATTATTGCTATGAAAGGAAAAGTAATAACAGAATAATATTGCATTTAGGAGGGAAGCTGAGTCCACTGAAGGTGATTTCACAATTATGGGGATTCTGTACATGTTTGTAGGCTGAGGTAAAGAGGGTAGTGGAGAGAGAGGTTGAAGATACAGTGGAGGGGATAGAAACAACATCATTTGGAAAGGAGGAAAGATTTTTGCCAAGTTTTCTTTAACATTTTTTAGCCTTTAGAAGTCTATAAGGTATTCATCTCATCAAAGCTGAGTTCAACTTCTCTCAACATAATATTGCCAATGATTCATGGTACACATTTACTTATTAAATAGAACCTCCATCTTTCCCTGGTCCAGGAGGGAAACATAAGAAATATACCTGGTAGAAGTTAAGAATTAAAAATTTACTCACAAAGATCTCGAGCTGCATCACAATCAATGGCATTAGAATGGCTGGTATGCTTTCAAAGTATATGCCTGGAACATGATCGCATTTAGATGCTTAAGATAAATGTTACCTATATGTTATAAATTTATATATGTATATGTACACATACATATATACACATACTAAGTAGTAAATTGCTGTTTTTCATGATTATTAAATTTGGCATTCTTATTAATCAAATATTCTCATTTTTATAGTTATTTTATTATATAACCTAAATTGCTAATTAAAAAAATAAAGCACAGATATTAGAAATAGCTTACATTAAAACTACATAGTATGAATGAGAAGAGAGTTTCAGGGCCTTAGTCATCACTATGAACTTCCACAAACATTTATTGAGAGCCAGTTACTTTGTACAAAGAACTATACTTACAGCTAGGAGGAACACAGATATTTGAGATACAGCTTCTGTCTTTTAGAAGGCTTATTAGCTTTAATTGAATTCCAATTAACCAAATGCATAAGTGATCATTAAAAGTCAGTGTTATACATATTTTACTTTATTTTTTCTATTCTGATAAAGCTCTTCTGTTTTTTATTTCCCTTTAAATCTTCCCTAGTTATATAAATTATCTGTGTTTCAGAATCAGCTTATAGTGCCTAGACAGAGTGCTTTGTGCCTAGTAGCATTCATCATTTATTTGATGCACTGAAATGAACACTTTGTCCAGTTTTAATTTTTGTGTGGTTGGCAACTGGCTGAATTAGAAAGTCAGTTGCCACATTTAGAGACATATTTAGAGAATATTGCTGAGTGGTGCAGCTGTAAGATTCTTTTGAAAAAGCATAAAGTCTGTTACATAAATTATGTACTTTTTAAACTCTATTCCATGTTCATTTGCACAATTGATCATTGAAACTGCTTTAGAAATGTGTATCAAATATTTAGCATATTTTTAAGCTTCCTTAATAACATCACTAATAAGTGGATGCAATTTTGTGTTTATTTACTACAAACACCTATGAATATCAAATAACCTAATTATAGTTCATCAACATTACCTTTAATTCATTCCAATGGAAATGTCTCTCTCACTGCATTCATATTGTTTTGGTACATAAGCATGGAAAACAGAAGACTGTTTTCCATGGGCATAGATTTTAAATATTTACTTGCTAGTGCTGTATAATTTAGCACACTGGAGTTGAAAAGCAGTTTATAGGGTAGCTGATTCCATGACAGAGTTACAGAATATAATGTCCTTCTGTGACTGCTACCTGAAGTTGTAAAAATGAAAAGCATTCTACTCCCTTTCTCTAACCAATTAGAATTTGTTATGAGAAATCCATAGAAAACCAATCTTTGTCGTATGCACACAATTTAATTTTGTGTATTATCATATATTTATTTTAAGAATCCAGGCACTGTTTCTCATAACCTATTAATATACAACATCAAAAGTAAAATATATTCATTCTTCTAATCCAAGTGTTTATGGAAGTTACAGAAAGGCATTCAGACAGCTTGTTAGATGCATGTTATCTCTCCTAAATATCAGAACAGACTTATGTCCTTCAAAATATGAAATCACAGGCTATCTAATCAGGCAAGAAAACAACTATTTTATTTACTAACTGTAATAAATGTTCCATTTGTCATCCTGTCATACCCTTTGATTTGGTTCCCTTACCACATGAATAGAAAATAAATAGCTACATTACCAGTTTTTGTGAGAATAATAAAATATTTCAAACCACTAAACACATGAAAAAGTTGAACAACCCATTTCAAGCTTAATTTTGAACTTTTCAAATCTGCATCCTGGAAGGCTTTCATTCCCATGTGGTTCCATGGAATGGTAGTACAGACTGTTTATGTTTTACTTTTAGCATTTAGTATAATTTCCTATACAATGCAGGAGCATGTCTAGTAGTCCTTGCTCCAAAAAAATCTGCAGTACTGCAAACGACATTGGATTACATTTTGCCATAATTTAGTATTTCTCTTGACATTCCTTAGGAGTGAAGATAATTTCCATTTCACAAAAAGCCTCTTCAGACTGTCCTGTTTCGATCCTTGAAAATAATCTAAAAGCAGAAAACGAGTGCACAACCTATGATGTTTTATAAGTAACCTATAATCCTAACAATAGCTTGGCTTGTACCTTCACAACAGGCTAAGAGGGCATACTGGTATTTTATCAAAGGGAGGGGGGACTTGGTCTGAGATCTACATTGGTCTGGAGCGGAGGTAAAGGGGACGAGTGTCGCAGTGCATGCTGGATCTTGCAGTTCCTGCGGCGGAGGCAAGGCAGTGATGTTGCATGGCATTCTGGGAATTGAAGTCCAAGTGTTCAACAGGTACTATGGCAGCCGTAATGTGCTTTCTCTATTAGACTCTGTTTACAGATGGGTACTTTCTCTCGGTTCTGCGCTTGCCGCCTTGGTGGGTTAGGCGTAAGGGTGGCGAATAGGTGGACAAAAGGGGTAGATGAAGTAAGCGCAGCAGAGGCCTGAATGCTGTTGCTCTCGCTGCCGCTAATCGGAAGACTTTGGTGCCCCGGAAGTGACTTGATAGGTTTGAAGGGAAGGCTGTTGCCCTAACTACGGTGGCCGGGAGCTCGAGGTACCTGTAGCTTCGGCGCCGAGGTCGGAGCGTCTGTGTGTGTGAGGACTGCGTTTGTGCTGGCTACTGCTGGAGATGGAGCATTCCCGGGCTGGTGGCTCCTGCACATTCTTATAGTTCTCCAGTCCTGTTTCGCTGAGGGATCGTCTTGACGAGGCTAGTGGAGTCGAGGAGGTGACCGGGTTTCTTGAGGGGCCCTGCCCACAGACAAGTCCTTTTGGCCAACCATCTGGGTTTTCTGAGGGTTTTGGTGCCTCCCTCCTCTCTCCTTTCTAGTGTCATTTGTCTTCTGACTCCTCCTCGCTCCGTCCTGGGTTCCAGACATAACAAACCGTAAGCCTGACTGTGGGCAGCTGGTCCCCTTTTCCTTGTGTTTTTCTTAAGTGTTCCAGGCATGACTTTCTTGTCCCTTGTGCTATCGCATCCATTTGACCCCTTCCCCATGCCAGTCAGTGCTCTGTCGCCCTGTTTCTCCTCATTAAAAACAAACAACCTCACACATAATTTGAAAAACAAAAAAAACCCAGATCCCCAAGATCTCAATCTACTCACTCCTGGCTTTTTCCTTTTTGGCCTTTGTTACGGCTTCAAACTATAGCAGACTAGCTTGAATATATTAATGCCTTTCCACCAGAATGTTAACATGCATTCGTGGTTTTCCGCTCACCTTCAACCCTCCCTCCCCAACCCACATCTAAGGGCTTTTGAGGTTGGGGGTTTGGAATACATTTTTAGATATCGTGACCAAGAATATGACAGCCCTCAATGGCCAACTCAAGCGGGATTCTGCTTATTGAGTTTATTTTTAAAATGATTTCTTTGGCTTACATTTTCGTTTTGTACTGATTGTTTTCCCACATGGGATTCACTCCTACTCTGTAGTTAGAGGAGAATACCTTGTCCTACAGCTCCTTATATCTGAATTACATAGGAATTTTCTTCTGTTTTCCTACTCGGACCATATGTCCCCAGTGGAATTTTTGCAACGATTTTTTGTCAGTTGATGGCAGATAGACACAAGGGAGTGATCTTTCCTTCTTGCTTGCATGTGATTTGTATTAATATAATAATTAGATTATGAGCCATTGAGAGTACCTGGAGGGATTGGGAAGGTGTTGAAAAGTAAAAGTCTATGTATTTTCTGAGTTTCAAATTGATAAAGCTTCTTTTCTGAACAGAGAAGAGTTTCTAATTAGTCCAATAAACTGATGCCATATTGAATTATCAGTTCATTGGCTGTAAAATTTAAGTTAAAAAGTGGCCAAATAAGGAATTATATCACTTAGTAAAAAGTTTAAAAACCATTTAATTGGTGCTTTTTTTCTATAAAATGAAATGCAAATGTGTTGAAAAATGTGTTTGTGATAATTGCCTATGAAATATTTCTAGACATTTTGATAGTTCTAATAAACGGCATTGTGTGCTATTCACTAATGTTTTGTAGAAAGGAATTTGGAACTTCTTGGCTGTCTGGGGACCATGGAACTCAAATGAGTTTGCAGCTTCTTTTCTATTCTGATTATTACACTAGAGAGGTTCTAATAAAAAATGGATCGCTGGAGCTCAGGAGTTTGAGGCTACAGTGAGCTATGATCCTGCTGCTACACTCCAGCCTGGGTAACAGAGTGAGACCCTGTCTCAAGACAAACAAGCAAACAGAAACACTAAGATATCATTCTTTTCTAAGAGGTCAAATATAATCTGTATATGTCAGTAAAATATATATCTTGATACTTGCACAGTGTCACATTGGGATTATTCCTGATTAATCTGAAATGTTTTCAGCCATGGTTAAGATTTGGGGTTTGGGGCTGGGGGTCGGGTATAAAAAAAAGATTTGGGGCTAAATATATTTCAGAATTAATTCACTCATGGAATTCTTTATGGAGAAATGCTAAGGAGCTAGGCATTACTCAAACTTTTAATATTTATTCTGAGATTTCATTTAGTAGGCATTTATTGAATACTTATTACTATTTAACTATTGTCACAAAGTCATCAAAATATTTATTGATGAGTATCCTCTTCTTGTCTTCAACTCTGTACTAGATGCTTTTATTATTTATTTATTTATTTATTTTTGAGACAGAGTCTCGCTTTGTTGCCCAGGCTACAGTGAGTGCCATGGCGTCAACCTAGCTCACAGCAACCTCAAACTCCTGGGCTCAAGCAATCCTACTGCCTCAGCCTCCTGAGTACCTGGGACTACAGGCATGCGCCACCATGTCCGGCTAATTTTTTCTATATATATATTAGTTGGCCAATTAATTTCTTTCTATTTATAGTAGAGACAGGGTCTCCTGCTCTTGCTCAGGCTGGTTTCGAACTCCTGACCTTAAGCAATCCACCTGCCTAGGCCTCCCAGAGTGCTAGGATTACAGGCATGAGCCACCACGCCCGGCTTGTACTAGATGCTTTTAAAGCATTATCTCAGTTAATTATAACAACTCAGTGAGCTATTGAGTATTATTTACATTTACCAGATGAAGAAACTGAAGCTTGAAAGTTTTAGTCATTTAGTTCAGTTCTTTTTGACTCTTGCCACTGTACCACAGCTGCAAAGATTTGTTCTCTACCTTGAAATATATAGAGTATTAATTCAACAAATACTTGCTGAGTAGCAGCTTTTCTAGGCCACAGTGTTAGAGTATAAATAAATACAGTCTGAATAAATTTATAAACAATAAATTATTAATAAATTAATATATTATTAATAATACTATCAATCAATAAATAATAAATTATTTATACAGTGTAAATAAATACAGACTGAATAAATACAGTCTCTCTTCTAGGTGTTGGGGACATACCAGTGAGCAAAAGAGAGAATGAAAGTTCCTGCTCTTAGGGAGCCTTGTACTCTATCAGAATGTATGAGATATAAACCTTGCCTTCAGAAGCAGATAATATAGCCAGTATGTGTTTGATTTTATGTGAATATTTTACAGTATTAAAATGGAGAAGAGATATTAGCTAGGGAAGGTTTCATGAAGAAGATAAGCTTTAATCTGGAATTTAAATAATGGTTAGGGATTTGGTAGGTAGAAATTGGGAGAGAAGTAATTCTAGATTGAGTTATAAAATGAATAAAATTCCTAAGGCCAAATTGTAAGGGAAAGAGATTAGAGGGAAAGACAGTAACTGGACTGTTGTATCTTCAGTTTTCTTGTACATAGTAGGTACACAATACATTTGAAAAAGATGTCTAAATGAATGAAGCTATGGCAAGAGCACAGATATAAGGTAATAAGGAGTTAGGTAGATAATTGAGAATGATTACATTAGGAATGGAGGAAAGTAATGGATTTAAGAGCTGTTAGTGAAAGAAACCAGTAGGCTCTTTTAATTATTAAATGTTGGGGATGGGGTGGTAGCCAAGGGAGGCTAGATCACCAGGTTTGAACTGAGTGGACCAGGTGAATTGTAAATTTACTTATTTTATCAGGTCATGAGATTAAAAAAAAAATTCTAAGATGCATCATTATTTGATTATTTATGAATCACTAAGAGAAAAAACATTGTCAGTTAAACAGACCAAGAGTGTTAATTGTAAGATATGTTTCAATTTCAGAGTTAAAATGTAAAAATCTGTGATCTAGGCCGGGCATGGTGGCTCATGTCTATAATCCTAGCACTCTGGGAGGCCACGGCGGGTGGATTGCTCAAGGTCAGGAGTTCAAAACCAACCTCAGCAAGAGCAGGAAACCCCATCTCTACTAAAAATAGAAAGAAATTAATTGGTCAACTAAAAATATATAGAAAAATTAGCCGGGCATGGTGGAGCATGCCTGTAGTCCCAGCTACTAGGGAGGCTGAGGCAGGAGGATCGCTTGAGCCCAGGAGTTTGAGGTTGCTGTGAGCTAGGCTGATGCCATGGCACTCTAGCCAGGGCAACAGAATGAGACTCTGTCTCAAAAAAAAAAAAAAAAAAAAAAAAAAAAATCTGTGATCTAGAATTGATGACATAGGTATTCTTTATGATGGTCAGTAAACCTTATATCCACTTTATTTTTATTTTGGGGGGACTATTTATACATAGATTTGTAATCTTTGACATGCATTCAATCATTTAGCATTTGTTTATTAATGAGGCATGCTTCTAGGCCACAGTGATATAGTAGTGAATAAATACAGTCTCTACCTTCAGAATTTACTGTGTAATGGGAGGCAGGCATAAATCAAATTCTCAGTCAAAGAAATTTAAAGTTACAACTATGGTAAGTGCTATAAAAAAGGACTTGATGTTATATAGAGGAAGAACTGATTAGAAAGGGGATATGAGTAGGGGTGGGGAGAGGCCAGTTAGAAGACTGTTAGAGTAGTGCAGATGAAAGATGATAATACCTTGGACAAGGTGGTAGTGAAGACAGAAGTGAATTCAAGAGATGTTCAGGAGGTGGAACTGGGTGATGGATTAGCTATGGAAGGAAAGGGAGAGGAAGATATCATTGGCTACCTCTGGGTTTTTGGCTTAAATATCTGGATGGGTTGTGGTGCAATTCACTGAGAATAGAGAACACTGAAAGAGGACCAGGTTTGGGGAACATGCATTGTTTATTAATATTTTTTTATTGTGTTAGCAGTGTTCAAGATTAGTTTCTTAGTTAATTTTTTTCTCTTTTGTGTCATTGTTTCAGTTTAGAATATTTGAGTATTGCTATACCTGAAAAAAGTTTTTTTGCTATTTTTTTCTCTTGAATGAGCAGGGTTGAAGTTCTAGATGAAACCATCTGGAAATATATTGGTATCTGTTTTGAATCTATATGTAACATATTAAACCATATATATGAATAGGTAACTGAGTAATGCAGTTATATATCATCTTTTTTTTCCTTTCTTTTTTTTGAGACAGTCTCACTCCATTGCCCTGGCTAGAGTGCTGTGGTGTCAGCCTAGCTCACAGCATCACAGCAACCTCAAACTCCTGGGCTTGAACCATCCTTCTGTCTCAGCCTCCCAAGTGGCTGGGATTACAGGCATGTGCCACCATGCCTGACTATTTTTTATGTATATTTTTAGTTGGCCAATTGATTTGTTTCTATTTTATAGTAGAGACGGGTCTCACTCTTGTTCTGCCCGCCTCGGCCTCCCAGAGTGCTAGGATTATAGGCGTGAGCCACCTCGCCTGGCCTATCATCTTTATTTTTATTTGGGATTTGGCAGTAAATTGGGCA